CTCTCTCTTAAAAAAAAAAAAAATACTGAGCGACATCCACTGCAATCTTTATTTACTCTTTTGAGACAGGTTCTCGCCAAGTTGCCCAGGTGGCCTTGCATTCACCCTGCTTCAGCCCCATGGGTCTGTAGGGATGTGATGTGAGCCTCCACATCCACCTGGACTTTTTTTTTTTTTTTCTTCCACTCTGAAGGCTGGTTTTTGCCTCTGTGTTATAGCTGTGTGTGTGTGTGTGTGTGTGTGTGTTTTGCAGCCCTACAGATCAAACGCAGCATCTTGCACATGCTGGGCAAGCACTCTGCCCCTGTGTCATGTCCCCAGCATCAAATGGAACTTACTAGCTGAATTTTCATGTTATCCCATGTGTTCTATTCCAGATACGTACTGCCGAACCACATGATGCTGAAGATAGCCGAAGAACTGCCCAAGTGAGTCTGGGCTTGTGAATGTGTTCCAACTGTCTCAGTAGACCACATGTCCTTTAGAGTTGGGCTTTCTTGATTACTCTAACGCAAAGCTGTTTACTCAGATTAGTGTACTAAATTCAGAAGGTAGCAAGTCCAAGAAATGGAAAATTACTGCCCAAGAGCTGCCATGTAAGATCTAAAACTTCTAAACTGGAATGTTTTAATAATTATGTCTTATGTTGTGTTTGAGTCTCTGGCAGCTACAGCAGCCACTTACAGAGAAAGAAAAAAATCTGATTTTCTCAGCTGTACTTTCTTCCAAACTAACACCTCATAGCCGGTCATGGTGGCATACACCTGTAATCCCAGCTACTCAGAAGGCTGAGGCAGGAGGATCACAATTTCTAGGCCAGCCTGAGCAACTTAGCAAGACCCTGTCTCAAAATAAAACACAACATGTAAGGCACGGGGTTCAATCCTCAGCACCACATAAAAATTAATAAATAAAATAAAGGTATTATGTCTGTCTACAACTAAATAATATATTTTTTAAAACTTTAAAAGCGATAGATAGGTGCTGGGGATGTGGCTCAATGGTTAAATAACCGTGGATTCAATCCCTGGTAACCCAAAAAAAAAAAAAGACCTCATGTGTTGTTGTTGTTGTTTGTTTTATATAAGGATTGAACCTAGGAACACTTTACCACTGAGCCACATCCCCAGACCTTATTTTGTATTTTAAGACAGGGTCTTACTAAGTTGCTTAGGGTCTCAGCCTCCTAAATTGCTGGGATTATATATAGGTGTGCACCGTGTGCCTGCAAGACCTCATGATTTTGAGCATTTTGTAATGTCCCTTGAAGTATGAGTAAGAATCAGAATCCAGTCTGTTGCTCATCCTGTAGAACTGAGAACCAGCAGTGCCAGAGTGTCTGTTTCCAGCTCTCCCGTGTGTGGACTCAGGCCAGAGTGGGCCTAGTGTAAGCATTGGCCTGGCTGCTTCCTATCATCTCTCTTCTGGTTCTTTAGCTTAGCCATGGACCCTGGCTTTTCCTAGTCATTATTCTCTTGGGAAGTCACTAAGGACTGTTTCTAAAGTGAGTTGAGCATGTTCTCCCTTGTCTTTAGGGAACCGCAGGGCATCATAGCTTGCTGCAACCCAGTACCGCCTCTTGTACGACAGCAGATCAATGAAATGCATCTTTTAATCCAACAGGCTCGAGAGATGCCCCTGCTCAAGGTAAGAATCCCAACTCAACAGGCTGTTCATCCTGCTAACTCTTGGAAGTAGGTGTGTCCTTTTGGATTTTAGCTGCCTTTTTTTTTTTTTTTTTTTTTTGTGGTGCTGGGGGTCAACCAGAACCTTACACATGCTAGACAAGCACTCTACCACTGAACTTCACGCCCAACCTGTGCATTACTTTATGATAGTCGAAAGATAAAATTCTTCCCAATACCACGCATATTAAAAAGGAACTAAAATTCATCCTGATCATTTTATGACCTTATCTTTGCTGATCTGATAGCCAGTAGCATCTAGTGGCTAGGCTAATTAGCTGTTGCTGTAAGGCAGTTAATCTGGCAGAATGTGATGAGGTGGGGATCTCAGTACAGGGAGCTCATGTTGGAAGCCCAGCAATGGTCCAGATGTTAAGAGAGAGTGCTCTGAGAGTGTGTGGTTGTCACGGAATGGAAAGAACAGATATAGGAGGTACCAGAACGAAAGATCAGAGGGACTTTGTAACAGGTGCCAGTTTTTCTTCAGCATGAAGTATGTAGACCTGTTATCTAAACTGAATTTGGGGCATGATGAAGGTGGAATCCAAGACCATTTTCTCCACATTCAAAACCTAGGTGATTGGGAAGGTAGGAAGTGGGAATTTAGGGCTAGGGTAGAGCTTGGTGGAAGAGCACTTGGCCAGCATGTGTAAGGCCCTGGGTTTCATCCCCAGCACAGCAAAAAGAAAGAAAGAAAAAATCGGAGATTCAGAAAAGGAATATGTGTGAAGGAGAGGCTGAAGTTTAGACAGACTCGGGGAAAGTGGCACGGCCCCTGCCACACAGGTATCCACAGGATGGTGAAGTGCAAAGTGCACAGGAGTAGGGACATGAGCATGTCTTGTGGGTCCTGGAGACATGACAGCATGTCTTGGTTTGAGGCTTTTTGTTTCACCTTTTTTTTTTTTTTTTT